AGGGCTTATTAGACTGTTAAGCTGTGTGTGTGTGTGTGTGTGTGTGTGTGTGTGTGTTGTGCTTATTAGCATCCTCACGCTCTGACAATTTGCGACAAACCTAATTCCCTTCTCCTTTTCTTCTTTTAAGACATCAATCTTTCTAGACGTCCACTCTGGTTGTAGGAAATTCCCTTTTCTTCCCCAACCTGACCTCTTGGCCTTAGAAAGAGGATCTGGGTCCAGGGAGGGAATTTGCCCTGAGAAGAGGAGGCCACCCAGAAGTGAGACTCTGTAGGGCTCCACCCCAAATCCCATGGATTCATGGTGGAGGTGCTGCTGAGCTCTCCCAGAGCCATTGGTGCATTGGGGTGAGGGAGGGAGGGAGGGAGGGAGGGAGCGGCCTCTGGTCACTGCTGTCCGCACCAGCAGAGGATCATTCTCAAGAGTGGGCAGTGCTGGGAGCGCTGATGTGGAATTGTGGGGTTCGTTCTGACATTCTGATCATGTCTTGGGGCAGCTTCCCCAGGTGACTTCTGTCGGCAGCAGAGTGGTGCCATAGGCTGCTGTGGTGAAGCAAAAACCTGGCTTTGAGGCTGTGGAGGGCAGAGAACCTGGCCAGCCCAGCACACTGTCCCCCCAAGGAGGACAGGCCACAAAGGGAGGCTTCCTGTGAGTGACTGCAGTCACCTGCCCCTCTGGGTTGGTCTTCTTGCAAGTTTTAGGGTCCCTTCTGGTTTCGACCCAGCTCTTCCTCTGAATTTGTGCAATGCTGGAGTTTCAATGAGTGCTAGAAGCCTGAACAACCCTAAACAACTCTCTCTTCTGGGCCGGGGATTTAGCTCAGTGGTTCCAGTGCCTGCCATGTAAGCACAAGGTCCCAAGTTTAATCTCTGGTACCAAAAAAAAGAAATAAACAACTCTCTCTTCTAATTGTGAGGAGGTAGGGCTGCTCTGGACCCACCTCTTGAAATATTTCTGTTTCATTCTACGAAAGTCTCTTCTGCAGGAGTCATTGACCTCGGCCGCAGTGTTATAAGGAGTGGGCTTGAGGGACTTGCAGAGGGCCAAAGACCCCTGTCCGACAGAACTCCTGCTCTGAAGCCGGTGAGAACCAGGCTGGTCACATTTGGTGTCTGCTGCTGGTCCCATTTTCATCTCTTTTTCAGGGTCTGAAATTTACTGTTATAGCGAAACTCCCAAAGACTAGCAAGGAAGGCAAGGAGGGCTTGTGTTAGAACTGGCTGCTGTATAACATGCAGCCTTAAGTTTGCCTCTGGGGAAGTGTGAATGTTGCAAAATGTTTATCAAGACAGAAAATAAAAGTAAAACCGAAGCCATTTGCAGAAGTTGTTGAATGAGGACCGTTCATGGCTTGGCACTGAGCAATCTAGGGTGGAAATGGCAACGTGTTCCCCAATATCCAGGCTTCCTTCCTTTAGAAGTAATGTAAAGTTCTCCTAGATTAAAAATGACTTTTCATAGCTTCCCCTCCCCACCATTAATTATGACTAAAGAACTATGTTCTGGCTGAAGGATTTATGTGAGAGATTTTCAAAAAAGGGGGAGCATTCCCTTTATCAACCTTCTTTCTTCCTGGTGCCAGGAATTGGGTGGGATGGCTGGACTTGAGCAGCCACTGTGGGTCATGAGTAGAAGTGGATGCTGAGGAAAGAGGAGCAAAAAGATAAGTGGAAGTTGAGCCCTTATCACTGAGAATGAGCAGAACGATGCAGGGTGACTTTCTACACACAGTTTACAGTGAGGAAGAAATAAGCATCTATCTTATTTAAGATGCAGGTACGTTTTCTGAGACATGCTGATGAACATAATCCTTTTATCATGTTTGCTATTCCTAGGACTAAACTGATTCTTTGTCAGAATCATCACCCTTGCATAGATCAAGATAAAATCAAACTCACTGCTCAGAACCAAGGTACTAGCGCTACATTGAGGGAGCAGACCAGGTAATTTTCAGAACAGACTTTTTAACTGGGGTGAGCACTTATTATGGTAAGGTGTCAGGATGTGATTCGTGTATTCATTCAGCAAATGTACCGAGTTCCTACAATTGCCGGGTACTGTTAGGCTTCGAGAACACAACAGGACTTGACCCAGCTCCCAGCTTGGTGTGGACATGGATATCGAGCACAGAAATCAAGGAACCACAGCATTTTCTAATGGCCACCAGCTTAGCGTGTGTCTCAGCGGGGAAGCCCATCTCGACCAGGCCAGAGCAGGAGCCCAGGAAGGGGACGGGGCTGGTGAGCTGAGACCTGAAGGTGAGGTGGCATAACCAGGGAGGGGGTGTCCCCAGGACCCTGGGTGCAGGGAGCCACAGCAGCAGAGGCAGCCGCGGTGGCCAGGCGGGGAGCAGGCGAGAGCGGTTTGTTTGTAAGGGATGAAGCGGTGGCTCTGAGGGTGGCATTATTTTAGAGAAGCCGATCATTTAATTCCAACTTGATCCCAACCTACACAAAGCAATAATCAGACAGCATTGTCGGGAGTGGAACGTGGAGCCTTGTACTTAGCTCCGGGTCTCGCTTTGTGGCTCTCTTGTGGGGCCTGACGCTGTCACGTAGACCTGACCTCGGCACGGGGCAGGCGTGAGGCTGGCATCACTGATGGCGCAGGCTGCAGCTTGGTGCCAGCTCTCGACTGGCACACGGCCCCAGGTGGAGGCCGCCCTTGCAGAGAGGAGTGTAGCAGCGTGTCTGCAGTGAAATGAGCTCGGTTCATGTTTTGAGAAAAACGTTGCCGAAATGGAACCTGTGAATGCTAAGGAAAGAAAAAACAGCCGAAGCTGGAAGATGTTAAACATGTTTTGCAAACACTTAACTTGTGGATTGGTGAATTCTTAGAACAGATGACTTCATAATTGATCCTTCTTGGTTGTGAACTAGCAGAGCATCCCGAGCCTTTCCCTTACAGCACTGTGAGCAGCTCTGACACACGAGGGTGAGGCGCATGGCGCACACAGTCTGTTCTCAGAGCCGCAGGCAGCCCAGTCGCTGGCTGTGCGGGGCCACGAGGCGGGATCCCGGCCACTGCCGCCAGTCAAAGACGCTTTGTCCCTTGTTTGACTGGACTTCAACTTCCTTCAACTTCGGGTGGAGAGGGCAGTAACATGCGCACTTGCCTGTTTGTTTGCACAGGGACGCGAGGGAGCTGGGAAACGGTGAGTGGCGTTTAGTGTGAACGCATGGGCTGCTGGAAAGCTGCAGTGCGAGGGGAATGGGCGTGTGGTCAGGAGATGCAGCCGGAGTCCCCTGATCAGCCTCTCCCTGGGATGCTCCCCTGAGGCTCTCTTCTCCCTAGGAGGAAGGGGACATTAGGCAGGCCGGTGCTGGAAGCTGCCTTCAGGAGGAGTTTGGGGAGAGGCGGTTGAATGGAGCCCATCAGCAATTCAACTTGGAGTTTGTGCAGATGGGAGCACTACCAACCCATCCGGGTGAGGTGGGGTGTGGGTGTCTGCCCAATGGAAACCCTGTGCGCTTAGCAAAACCGAGGTGGAAGGTGAGGCCCAACACTCAGCGGTGGACAAAGTAAACAAAGCAGCTGCAGAACAATGTTTTTGGCAGTACTGGGGGCGGAACCCCTGACATCACACTGAACCACCCCCCCACCCCTTTTATTTTGAGGCAGAGTCTTGCTAAGTCACTGGACTTGCAACCCTCCCGCCTCAGCCTCCCCGAGTGCTAGGACTCCAGGTGTGTGTCATGGCACCAGCTGCGTAACGCTCCGTGAAGTGCGGTCCCAAGATGTTAGAAAACAACGCAAGAGCTCTCTGCACAGATGCTCAGAGTCAGTTTGCAGAAGAGCCCTGCAGGGTGTGGACCGCGGCTCACCTACCACGGGCCTTCTGGTTGCTCCGTATATTTCTGTGTTGTTTGAAACTTTGAATTTGTATTTATTTTTATTGTGATAAAGAGCACTTAGCACGGGAATGACTCTTAGATCGAGGGCCCAGGTTGGGACCGCGTGGAAGCAGCTGTCCCGTGTGGGCCGTGCCTGGGGCTCCCTGGGCCAGGCTTGGCCCCCTCCGGCCGGCGGCTGACGTCTGGGTAGGGTCTCAGCTGCACAGTGCTGCCCGGGCTGAGGACGCTCAGCGGCGGCCCTGGCCGCGTCCTGCGCTTTGCTGCCGCGCCCTCTCCCCAGCGTGCCCGTCAGAGATCCCTCCAGTGCAGCCAGTGTCCCTGGCCAGGCGGACTGGGCTCAGGGAGGCACAGGGGCCACGCCGGGGTCGTCGGGTCTGGGGTGGGCGCGTCCAGCAGGGCGTTCGCGACGGACCGGGTGTTTGGACAGCGGTCGGCTCTCCTGATCAGGAACGCACCCCGCTGCCTCTGTTCTCCTCGGCACCAATCACGATCACGGGCCACAAGCGCTTGGCTGTACCCTCACCGCACAGGGCCGCGCTTCCCGCCTTACTGCCGCTCACGTTTCCTTCTCAGCCTTCCTCGGGAGGAGACTACGGCTGCGGAGCGAGGCACCTTGCCTCCAGTCCAAGCAGAAAGTGACCCCTGAATGGGGAGAGCTGAGTGGCTTTGTTCCGCGCGGCTCACATGTTGCCATTCCTACGCGGAGGACGCAGGGGAACAGGCGGTCCTTTCACTTGAGCTTTGGCAAGGCTGCGGCTTGCAGCGCTCTGGAAAAGCAGCCCCAGAGGTAGCAAGCGTTTAACAATTCTTGGCGGTCTAACCTTGAAGTCAGAATGCTAAACACACGCAGCGCTCTCTCGAGACGCGCCCCTGTGACTCACTCCTGTGGCCACGCTTCCCGAGGATAGCCACCCGGGGGTCACCACGCCGAGCTTTGCTCCCCTCCCTACTTCCTCCCCTCCCCCTCCCCTCCCCCCCCTCCTTTTGTTCTGTTCTCTCTTCCCCATCCTCCCTCCCTACCCCCTTCTTCCCTCCCTCCCTCCCTCCTTTCTTTCCAGTACTGAGCTTTGGGCCCAAGAAGTCCTGAGCTACATTCCCAGCTCTTTTTACGTTTGTTTTGAGAGCCAGTCTCCCTAAGTTGTCCAGGCTGGCCTCAATCTTGGGATCCTCCTGCCTCAGCCTCCCATGTAACTGTGAACCACCACACCAGGCTCCTTTTTAGCTTATTTTAATCAGTCTTTGTTTCTAGCTGATTCAGGGGTGCTGTGTTGCAGTCTCATGATGAGCTGAGTAGGACGCTGTGCATGGCTTGCTGCCCGCGGGTGCATAAACACCAGGCTATCTCGTTCCACGCTCTGCGGTGATGACGGTGGGGCTCTGCTGAGAGGCATCCTGAACCCCTGCCCTGGGCAGACTCCTGCTGTGTGACGCTGGCTCAGGTACTTGGCCTTGCTCGGCCTCCGACTGGGGACGTACCAGTCCCTTTCCCGGAGCCATTGCAGTCCCAGGGTTAATTTGCACGGCTCTTGGGGACTGTCCCACACAAGGTAAGTGCTTTGTAAACAGCACCCATTGGCACCCAAGGACCAAGCACTGAGTTTTCATGTATTCTAATTGCATAGCAATCAAACGGAGGACCTGGTTATAGTTATTTAATTCATTAGATGCTTTCTTTCCCCCCCCCCCGTGGTTTTGAAGGGCTTAATTAGAGTTATTATAATTCCTTTTGGGGGGAAATTATCTATTTTGAAATACACACAGACAGGAAGAGTTTGAAAGAAAACACTGCACAAGGTTAATAGGTCGTGTCTGGAGTGAGATGATTGGTCATGGGTAATCTGCTCTTTTGTTTCGTTGTTCATCGCATCTGAACATCTGGTAATTGGCTGGGTCCCTGCTGGCCACTCTGATCCGAGAGCTGCAGGCCCGGAGTGTGTGCCAGGGCACCAGGCCCGCCTCACCTGAGCAATGCCCTGGACATCTGGGCCCGAGGGAGGCGGATGCCTGTGACCCTGGTGAGGGCGGACACTCGGGACTTGAATCCTGGAAAGAACGGGACCGGGCCAAGGACAGCGGCTTGGAGAGGGCAACAGCTGGCAGTGCGGCCTCTCACAGCGCTCCTGGTTCTGCCAGGGGAAAGGCTGCAGCCTCTATCCCTCCGGCAGTGGCCGCCTACTGAGTGTGCCCCTTACAGTGACCCCTGGGGACCCCACAGCTGTGAGTGGGACAGCAGTCACAGCAATGCTGCGTCATAGTGACCAGCGCTGCCATCTGGAGCCGCCCGTGGGGGTCTTCATGTGGCTTCTGTCCCCTCATCCAGCCCCAGGGCGCCCAGCTCCCCGCCCCAAGGTACAGAGGGAAACTGAGGCTCAAAGAGGCACACGGCTGGCTGGGACTGCAGGGCTGTGCTCTCCAGGCGGATCCTTAACTGGAAGTAGCGTCATGGATGCTCTGTGGCCGGGGCTCTGTGTGGTGTTTGGTACTGGACGTTTGGCCTTCGCCGAGTGAGATGGGGCTCCTTCCTTCCCCTTTGCTCTTTCCCTGAGTGGCTTTCTAGGAGTGTTGCTGTACAGATCTCACCGCATCTGGCGTCTCTGAGAGGGTGGCCCTGGGAGGGGTGTTCTACACTCGTGGCCGTCGATGGAGGAGCTGGTGGCCGCGTGCCTGGTCCACAGCGCATGGCTCCGACTGCTCTCTCACAGGCTCCTGTCTTTCCTCGTCCTGCCCTCAGTGGGTCGTTTGTAGCAGGCTGTCTTCATGGTTACATCAGATAATTCGACAGGATGTGGTCAGGGGATTAGGCAGGACGCCCAGGCTGGCTGGAGAGTTTGTGCCCTGCGTTGTGTTTACCCAGACGCCTGTGCGGAGCCTTGGCGGCTCCCTGTGCTGTCCCTCTCCAGAGCCAGGAAGGGGCCAGGTGCCACACGACACCAGGACCTGGAGGCCGTCCTGCTCCCAGCCCCACGCAGTCTCCACGGTCCTCGGAAGCAAAGCTTCAGGCCACCACTGCAGACCATTCCCCTGTGCTAAGGGGCCAAAGCCGTTTCTGTCCTGAGGCCTTTTAGTCCGTCCTGACCAGAAATCCAGTCTCCTGCCCTGTGACTTCTTTTCAGAAGAGGCTGTTACTATTTCTTCTCTAGAGGAGATCCAGAGCACAGGAGCCGGTGGGTGCAGTAAGGGGAACCGCCACTCCAGGTGAAGTTAGGCTGCTGCTCCCTGATGAGAGTGGCTGTGTGCTCTGTCCCACACAGTGACCCGGCGGGCGAGTGATTGTCCCGTAGCTGGTCCGTGGGAGGCCTCTGGGCACTGGGTCCACACTGTGGTCCCTTTCTGGAGTCTATTTCCCACATCTAAGTTTGTAAGGAGAAACAGTTTTGAGGTAAAGGGATGCAGGAGGGAAAAGGAGCCTGGAGATGTGGGTCCTGATGCAGCTGTATGACTAGTTAGCCTCACGACTAGAGACATCATGTCACAGCCGGGGTGGCCACTGCCTCCTGCAGGAGGTGGCTGGGCTAGGTCAGTGGTGTTGAACATGTTTAATTGGTGATTGATCAGTCCTGATTTCATGGGTGTGGGATGTGCCAGCATTGCGGTTCTAAAGACTCTGCTGGGCCCCATGGGTGTGGCCTGTGTGAGAGCCAGCTCTGTCACATCCTCGGCTCTCGGCGTTGGTTAGAAGCAGAGTTCACTGGTCTGTCCCCGAGGAAGTTGTACATGGCCCAGCGGCTTGTAAATGGGTGCACTGCAATGAAGGGCACTGATCATTTTTGTCTTGGAGAGCCCAGAAAAGTTAGCGCCGTTGATTTGTAGTATAATTCTGCAGGCAAAGCCATAAAAGGCTTCTTCTGGAGACATTGAGGATGGGAGAAAGACGCATGGAGTTTAATATGGCCAGGAAGGGCGACTGTTATAGATTATTGAGTTTTTCCCTGAGAAGTTTATACAAGGGGAAGTTGTTCATAGGCCCAGAAGAGAATGATTGGGTTACAAACTATTTTTAAGGTAAGCACAATAATTTTTAGCCCCTACCACCTTTGAAGTCCTTTTTCAAAGAGAGAAAATAGTATTTTGACAAATACCAAGTTATTAGTCTGTTTCTGGGTTACACTTCCAGTCCTTGCCAAAGTAAATTACTTTTCCTTGGGAAGTTAAATGCAATGCAGTTTTAAAATAAGGTTCACTTAACGTTTTCTTTTGATTTGCTTAGTCTCAGATGATTGATCATGCAGGAATTCGGCTGAATTATTTTGTAGATTACACTTGAATATCAAAGGAGAAATGGAGATGTGGGCACAGGACCCGAAGTTTGCACGCAGACGTTTTCTGCCCAGATCCGGCCTGGTCCGCAGGGTGTGGTCACCCGACCGGAAGTCATCCTGCGAACCCCAGGCCTCGGCCGCTCCTTCCGCTCCGCTCGCCCTCCCTCGCGCACTGGAAAAGTTCGGCTGGAATTCAGTGGGGATGCGGCACTGCTGTGCTCCTGTGGAGGGAAGCTGGCCTCTGTGCCCACGATGGCATTCAGATTCGCTGTGAGCCTCAGCCTGCAGCAAAAAAAAAATGACCACATTGATCACCTGGATAATCTCTTAAGATTAGAAATTCGAATTCCCAAAAGGGTACTGGATACTGTTCCTCAGTGTGTTTTAGTAGAAAATTTAATTTTATTAAAAAATGAGACTAGAATATAACGACTAATACTTTGGCCACCTACTTTTACTGTATGCTGATTCTCCAACAACAGCTACTAAAGGGAGAGGGGCTGTTGCCATCATATTTGACTGAGGTTGCTGCTACATACCCCTTCCCCATCAGCATGTGGGTGAGAAGGGTCTAGGCCCCTTGCCAAGGCCCTGGTTAATCTGGGGCAGAGCTGGCGGAACCCAGCCTGGAGTCCCAAGGCTGCACTCACAAGCTGCCTCTCAGTGCTGCACATCGCAGAATGTGGAGCTTAACCAGAATGTGGGAAGTGTAGGTTGTTAAAGCCATTTGGAGCATGATTTGGCTATAGAGAGAAGCTATGCATTCCACATACCCCTAGACTATGATTCTACTCCTGGGTTTATACACCTTTCATCTGTGTATACAAGTCCAAGAGGGTTCATCATAGCATCATTTGTAATGAAAAATAATCTGGAAATAAACCTAAAACAGAATTTAAAATGGTGATTTTTTCATGCAGTAGAATACTATACAGGAGTGAAAAATGGATAAACTCAGATTGCCTGTGTCAACACAAATAAATCAAACATAATGTTGAATGGAAAGGCAAGTTCCAAGAGGATATGTACACTATGTTTCCATTTATATACACCTTTAAAACACATCCTTTATGGTTATAAATATATCCAGTAAATATTTTAAAACATATTTGGGATTGATGACCATGGGTGTTGGGCAGCGCTTTCCAGAGGGATGGAAGACAGGGTGGTGGGGCTTTGGCTTCCTATCTGTGATGTCTCACTCCTACCCAGAGCAGCAGGCAGCCAGCTCTCTGTGATGTCATTTCCTACAAAGTTTGTGTGCCTCAAATATTCCATAGTTAATAACAGCACATGAGGAGACTCTTGAAATCCTGTTGTAGTTTATCAAAATAACAACAACAAAACCCAAACCCCTAAGGACCAAGGCAGTGGGAAGCAGTGGGTTTACTTAGGAACCAGGGGAAGAAACCAACCTGAAGCCACAGGTGCCAGGCGGGTCCCGGTCCCTTTGTCTGAGTTCCCCTTGAGTCTGAGCTTGTGACTCTGCCCCCCACCAGAGATGGGGAGCCCGGGGCTGAGGGGCTTCAGATCTGGGTCTCTCAAGAGGAAGGAAGAGCGGCTGCCCTGGGAGCTGCGCGCGAGCTGCCGGCTCCTCAGGGCCCGAATCAAATCATCTTCACCCTCAAAGTCTGTGAGCCTGGGGAGAAGATTTAGTTCTGGTTACTTAGCGTTCTCGATGGTGTGTGTGTGTGTGTGTGTGTCTGTCTGTCTGTGGTCTGAGTGCCTTCAGCCTGGCTCCAGAAGCCTGGCGGCTCTCTTCCCTACCATCTTCTCTCCTTCCTGTGTGGCCTGGCCAGGCACCAGGAGGTATTTTCAGAGGGGTCAAGAGCAGTAAGAGGACAGTGCAGGTCCCGGAGGGCAGCATGCCCTGTGGAGGTGTCTCCCGCCTCCCGGTCCCGGTGCTGCTGCAGCCGGGTTCCAGAGCAGGGGCTCGATCTAAGCACCTCAGAGTGAAGGAGCTGAGATTTGCCTGTAGGAAGAGTTGGGTGCTGGGTTGCAGGCTCATATCTGACAGGTGGCGAAGGCACGTGGAGGAGCTGCCCTGGCCGGGAGAGGGAAGGGCCTGTCTCCAGGTCACTGCTGTGCCCTGCGCTGTCCCAGCACCTCCTGTCTTCCGCCTCAGCTTGGGGATGCTGTGATGAAAGGAGACAGACTAAGACCCACGTTGTTCCATCACCAGCCTCTGTCTGAAAGTGCCAGCGCTGGCCGGGGAAGGCCCTGCATTCCCATCCGGGGAACTCTGCCCTGTAGAGGCCAACAGCCCGGTCACCCACCTTCCCTCTGTCACCAGGAGGGGCTTTCCCGGAGCCCTGGCCAGGCGGAGACCAGCTCCCTCTGCTCCTCAAGGCTGACTGAGGCTGTGGTGCAGTCAGGTCGGTTAATTTAGGAGTCCGTGCCTCCCACGGGCTCTGGGGCTGTTTCCCTGTCCTGTGAGCCATCTCAGAAACCCCAGGACGCACACGCTCAGTTCCGAGCCTGCAGTGAGCCCAGAGAGGGGCTCCCGGTGTGTGTGTAGTAAAGCCTGTGAGGCGTGCCTGGGAGTCTCATGCTACTCCTGTTCGTGCCAGTCTGAAGGCAGGCCCTCCTGAGAGTCACTGCTGCGGGGCTGAAGTAGTTGCTCACCGCCTGGCTGTGGGCGTCCACGCCAAGGGGAAGGCGTTGCTCACTGGGTTCGCCACGAAGCCCGCACGGACGTCCCCTGGGACAACCCTCTGTCACATTCCTTTCTCGAGGTCATAGTTTCGTCTCAGAAGGCACGCTGACAATATGTGGATGAGTGAAGAAGAAGGAAAAGATGGGGAAAACCTTTCCCATTGTGTAGAGAATCCATTTTCTAGGCTAGCAAACAATGCCAAGAACTTGATAGTGGCTAATCTAACTCCTGATTGGGTCATGACACTGTGGGATTTGTAATTAAACAGTTAGGGATATCAGTGGGAGAACATTTTATTCCTGGAGAGAATAGGGGTATATATAATATCATTCAAATGTGAATATACAGTAAAGAGGAAAGAGAAACGTGGTGAGGAAATTCTGGCCTGCTACCCCAAAGGACGGTGTCTTGACGTCTATGCTTTAAGACAGTTGTGCTTTCAGTCTTAGGTAAATTTTCTGGGGTGACCTCAGAGTCACATTCTACCGACTTTTCTGCTGACATGGAAAAGGTGCCCCTAACATGTTCTTCAGTGAAAGCGTGCGTGTGTGCATGCGTGCGTGTGAGTTTGAGCGTGAGTGTGTGGTGCTGGGGTTGACCTGGGCCTTACGAATTGGAGGCAAGCACCTCCCACTGAGCGGTCTCCAGCCTCCGTTCAGTTTTTAAAGCACGCTGTTTGTTTGTTGGGAGAACGCAGAGCCGCTGTCTAGCGCATGTCGGACAAAGGGACTCTTTGGGCCTGGCGTGCACTGTCTTGTTGCTTCCTTCTGTTACTTCCTGTCTGTGGCTTCCGTCTCCCTGCTCTGGAGACCTGTTGCTTGGCACACTTTTGATTTCCTCTGAAGACCTTCCTCCCTTGGGAGGTGAGAGCCAAGCTTCCTTTGGGTACCGGTTCTTGCTCCTATTACGAACATAAAAGTAAAGAATTCTTTTTCTGCAGCTTACACACACAATCCATTTGTTGATTAACTTTCCTGGACCTGGATTATTCTTGAGAACCTCACATCAGGGTCCTGTTTGCTTTCACGGTGCCAGGAAGTTCTGTTTTATTTGTTTTGGAAGCAGTCCTCGCGCTATTTATAAATCTCTTATATTTATTGATCCATACAGTGCATTCATTTATTAGTCAGGAGTTTTACAGACACGAGTGACGGGAGTCCCACACACCGCTCAGGCCAAAGTGACTTCCGGCCCTGCTCACGTGCCCCTGGGGGCTCAGGCCACAGAGCCGTCCGCTTAGAGGGCTTTCGAAGTGACTTTAGCTTTACCGCCTCCCCATCCTGGGGAGCCTAAAGGGGCTTCAGGGAACTCTCCGTTTTCTCTGTCCCTCAGACAGCCAGTATTTAGCTTCTCACTGTGCCTTTCTCGAGCCTCCGAAGTGTGGGTCACTTCCGGCCTGAGACAGGTGTGTGGGAGCAGGGCGTGGCCATGAGGTTGTCCCGGGAGGTTTCCTGGGAAGCTCGCTCCTTTGCCTTGACGGTTGGCTGGGGAACAATGAAAAGATCTTTTGCACATTGGAAGGAGACCAACACATGGAGGGAGGAGACAGGAAGGGAGGAAGGAAAAGGGGAGGTACAAAGAGTTAAGATGTGCTGTGTACATGCACCAATTCCCCATGATGAAAGCAATAGTTGTGGACCATAAACATGGACTAACACAGATGACAATTTAAAAAAATAAAAGAAGAGCTCTCAAAATAAAGCCAAAGGCTGGAGCCCAGGTGTGATGGTGGGGACCCAGGAATAAACCTCACAGGGTGCAGAGAGTCCTGTCGTGTGTCCGAAGGGAGTGGTACAATTGTCCCTGGGGTCAGTGTGGATCAGGCACAGGACCGCACAGATGCCAAGCCCGGCAGCTCCTCACGTCCCTCCTATGAGGGGCGTAGCACGGCCGTATGACCCGCTCGCACCCTCCTGTACCCACCAAGCCATCTCTAGGCTACTCACGATCCCCAAGATGATGTCGTGAACACAGCTGTTATACTGCACCGTTTAGGAAAGCATGACAAGAAAACCTGTGTACACATTCAGGGCAGACTCAGGATGTCTTGAATGTTTTCCATCTGCAGTTGTGTGGGTCCATGGACCTGGCACCATGTGTTGGGAAGGTGGACCCTGAGCCAAGTTTGGTGGCTGAGGAGAGCAGTGTGTGTGTGTGTGTGTGTGTGTGTGTGTGACACATGTCTCTGGAGGGTGGAGGGTGGGGGTGAGGACAGACTGGTGACTCCTTCCAAGGGACAGGGACCCCGCTCTGGAACACTGGAAGGGGAGGAATTTTTTAATTTTTATTTTGGTACCAGGGATTGAACTCGGGTCCTTGAACTTGAGAGGCAGGCAGAGGAACCACTGAGCTAAATCCCCAGCCCTGGAAGAGGAGGAATTTTGAAGGATGCCCCAGGACATATTTTTTATTCCTTCTGTTTGAATGTCATTTTTTTTTTGGTACTGGGGATCGAACTCGGGTCCTTGCATTTGCGCAGCAGGCAGCGAGACCTCTGAGCTAAATCCCCGGCCCCTCGAATGTCATTTTGGCATCAGCTGATGAGATTGTCTTCCTGCTCTGTCACTTTACAAGACTCCTCCCAAAGCATCTTGGGCAGAGGGCAGCCGGCGCTGGGCTGGTGTCCAGCTTTGAGCTTAGCCCTTTTTCCCCACTCTGGTGCTGAAACCAGGCTCTGCATGAGTGTGACAGCCACCTGTGCCCACCTCATTTCACCCCTGGATGGGGGCAACGGGGATCAAGGAGACCAAGGAGTTGGAGGCCAAATGGCCTTGCCCAGGGACCAGTGACTCAAATGGCTTTGGAAACTTCGAGTCCTGCATTCTGAGCTGATCTGTAGGTTTTGGGGGTCTGGAAAGAGCCTAAAACAACCCATGCTGTCCAAACCCATCTGCTTAACAGGTAAGAAAACCGGACCCCACTGTGGTTGAATAACCCGCCCTACTGTTCCCACTTCAGAGGATGAAAGTCAGGAGGGCACCCACCGGGCCCGGGCTCGGAACCATGACTGCTCCACGCACAAGTGGAAAATCACTTGTCCTCTTCTGGACTTCTTACCCAGCCATTCTCCTCTTGCTTAGTTTCCCAGCCATTTCCCCAGCAGTTTCAACTGTCTTTCAGATGCAGAACTGAAGGCACTATTTTTGCTACCTCCCCACTGGAGAGGCAGTTGTGTCACGTGAGCAAACACTGGCTTCTTCCTGGTTCAGCACTTGCATTTCAGGGGACGAGCGTGGCA